TTGCGGCCGTGCATTCGTTACACACACACACACACACACACACACACACACACACACACACACACACACACACACACATATATATATCCCGCCTTTTATAGATAGATATCAGTTATTGCTCGCTTTGTTTTCATTGAGTCTTAGGGACACATTTTATAGCCCAGGTTAGGGATAAAGGAGGGAGGGCCGGAACGTTGTTAACAACAACAACAACAAAGATGGAGGTGATAGTTCACGTGTAAATAGTGTAACTAATAGTAACTCTACATCGTAGAAATTTAGACAGGAATTAGGGAGTGCTAGTTCGAATGAATTATTGAATTACTTGAAACCGAAAAATGGGAGTAATATTCGAGAATTTTGTGCATGTTAGCTAAACTAAGATGTCTTCGTCCTGTTGATAATTAATATGGCTGTCTTTACTCTTACTATTTGTGGCCTCTTTGATCCATGTGGCTAGAGATATTTTCTTTTTTCTTTTTTCTTTTTTTTTTTTTACGCCCAACCACCAACTTTATTCGCTGACGAACATGAAAACAATCGATCCCATTTCTGCATCTCGATCGATCGGTTGACATTTGTGGCATTGACGTTTCGACTCAATTTCCCAGTCGGTACAATCGACAGACGACAAGCAGTAACATGTTCCCCAATCCCCAACTGCTGATTTTTTTTTTCGAGCATCTGAGTGAATGGACGACAGCAAACGACAAACTTCATTCAATATTCATCTCTCTCTTTTTTTTCTTTTTTTTTTTCATTCTTTCTTTTCTTTTGCTTTTAATTTCGCGGCTTTTTTCATTTTCTCTTCTGGTCCTTCGGCGAACCGAACGATCTTCGGAGTCGATAGCGAATGCCGACTGTTCCAATACTCGTCAGGTTCAAACTGCCCTTTTCAGCAGTGCACATCGTATGCCACTGATGAGCCGTCAATTTACAGTGTTACGGGTTGGCGTTCTTATCCAGGTAAGGTGGAAGTTTTTATTTTATTTTACAGGCTTGAGTCTTTTTTCTTTATAATTGTAAAATTGGTTGTAAATGCTTCAGCATTCAGTGTTGGAACTATTAACACAGATAATAGACGTATTCTGTTTGTAACATTCGCTGTAATTACTGAACACGGATAATCTGTCTCTTCCTGATTTTCAATACTATAGTAAAATTATTTACAATTCATTTTAAATATAAATTAAATAACTGCATTTTTATAGAGAAATCATTATTTACTGAGTTGGCCGAAATATTCGTTCGGTTTATCAAGTAATTTTTTTACTTAATATGCGAACGAACATTTTGGCCTACCCATTCATTTCCATAGTTAATTAATACATTTTTATAATGAAATCATTTCCAATGCATTTTTATAGTAAAATCACAACTAATGCATTATTATAAGTAAAATTATTTATTGGGTTCGTCAAATATTCTTCGGTTTATCAAATAATTTTTTACTTAATTTGTGTACGGACATTTTGGCCTAACAAATACAATTCATTTCTATAGTTAAATCATAATCAATGTATTTTTATAATAAAATCATTTCCGATGCATTTTCAATAATACAACATGAATGCATTTTTATAGTAAAATTTTTCTACAATACTCTTCCATAGTAAAATCATAATCAATATATTTTTATTATACATATAGATCTACTCTATCAAGTATTACCTGCATTATTTTCTGACTACCGACTTAATTTCCAGTGCATTTTTATTTTAAGATTAATTATAACTTCTTTTAACTCCTGAAATTTCACAGTTTTTTATTTGGAATTTCTGATGAATCTTACTTCTTTAGTTAATGACTAAATAAGCTGATGGCAAGTTCTACGACAATAAAATATCAGTCGAAATTTCCCTATCGCATCGTTAAATATTTGAGCTTAACAACTTTAACAAAATACTGCAATAACAGTCATGAATATGAATGATGTTTGTTATTTTTCATGTGGGTACACATGAAAAGATTTAAAATTGACAACTTTTTCCATTTTACCAGAACAGAAGTAAAACACTTCTTTCTTTCTTTCTTTCTTTCTTTCTTTCTTTCTTTCTTTCTTTCTTTCACTGAAACCAAGTAGCGTATTTGATTTGTCTTTTGCCTTCTCGCGTGATCAAAACGGAATAGTCCATTATTTTTGTGATATTAGCAGGGGACGTTAAACACTTCTATCTATCTTTCTTTCGTTTATTATCTTTCTTTCGTTCTTTTTTTTCACTGAGGTATTGGCAGGGCGTAACGGTCGAGTGAACTAACGAAGGAAGAGACAAGCGCAGTTATACGAGATTTTCTACAATAAAACCATTATAAATGCATTTCCGTAAGACATATAGTAACCGTGTCTCAGTGAGGCATTTCGATGTGGTCTAATGGTGAGCAAGCTGGTCTGGCTAGATTAATCACGACAGAGTACTGAGTTCGAGCCTTACTTAGTGCCCCATATTTCTAGCCTTGTGCCACAAATAAGTTACGTTTAGTAAAATCACTATAATAGTCATATCTCAGTAATGTTTGGATTAATTCTTGACCCCTGACAACCCCACTTCGCTCGTTTTCACTGTATGAGACGCTAAAAAGTTTTTTTTTGGTTATATTTTGTGAAATAGATTGGATTGAAACATCTTCAGTAGACTGAAACAATTTAAACAAATTTTAGATGAAAAAAGCAAAATTCAGCTGACAATAAACTCAATGTGTTGATGTTACCATAGTGATTTTCATTTATTCATCATATCATTATGACAGAATGCCATGTTCTTGCGTCGCCTCTTCTGTGAGAAAATTGGCTATGCTAAAATATATTCTGTCTATCCCCAGGGGACATTTTGCACAAGTTTTCGAACAGAATATAGATAAATATGAAATTAATCAACGTTTGGAATTAATAATATATCGACGATATTTGTTCCCACCAGAGATGTGTTATTTATCCGTACAGCCAACAGTAATTAATCTGACACAAGGCCGGGTTTAAAGTGGGGGTCCAGAATCCAAAGTAGTCCAATCCCCTGGGCACTTAACCCTTTTAGCGACAGCTTAGGCATCAAGTATAACACTTGCCCCCTACCGAGGGAGAGATATTGAATAGTGAAGCGGGACCCTGCGAATGGAGTTACTTTTCCCCACTCAGGACGCACCATAGATACATCTGTTTGCAAACTTCCCGGATTTTTGCTGACCAGTTAACTTTGATCTTAAAAAAGTTAAATGCAATGTCAATCGTTATCTTCTGTCTTCCTAATTCTTATTCTTTTATTGTTCTCGCTTCTCAATAGTTTTTTTTTTCTCTCATATTCTCTCACACACAGCAACCCTTTGCGTCTTAGTGGCTTTATTGCCTCACTTGGGTGAAATAATAAAATAGGCAAAACTACTATCCTATATATACTATTAGTTATTTATAAGAGCTACAAAGAATAGGAAGTTGTGGAGAGCCACGATCGCCCACGTTCTGAAGGAACAAGGCAGATGGAAGAAGAATCCTTAGTGTTTGATATATTTGTTGACTAAATCCTACTCACCTATTATACGTGTTTTATGTGCCAAGTCTTTTTAGAACTTTGGTGATCATGGCTCTCCACAACTTCCTTTTTCTTATTTTAACCATTTAGCGTCTCTCTTTGTCCTTATTCTTGCTATCCATTCACACAAACTCGTTAAAATTTTTGATGAAATCCAAAGAAGGATTTGCAATGTCATCAGTCCTGACCTGGCATCTCGGCTTCAGTCAATTCGAATCTTTTTTTTTTTTAAACCCGTGACGACATTGTCCAGCACCCACTGTCGGCAGCTCAGCACTTTTTTTTCTGTTTGAGAACGGCATCTTTCGATACAGACTCGGATTTCAGTGTCACAATTTCCGTCATACCAGCTTTTTTCCTCATTGTGTGTCACAAAAATTTCACCATTTTTTCTTATTGTAAGTATAAATTTCCTTGTTGTAAGTATAAGTTTCCTTGTTATTATTCAGAAGTCCTTGTTGCCCACATAGAGATTGTCCAGCATTCATTGTTTTCCTCATAATATGCCTTAAACTTTTCAACAATCTCTTTCCGATGCAAAGTATAAATGTCTTTTTTGATTCCATTTTCTTTAAAACTTCGGCGTTGTTCACATGTTCCAAGGTATTCTCAGCATCCTTCTGTAGAACCACATTCTGTTGTTTCAAGTTTCTACATTTCTGTTGTTTCAAATCAACTACAATCTTCATAACTTTAAATTCTTGGAGCCTGTTCTTTTATTCGCCTTTCAATTCATTGTTTTTGTTTTTTAATTTTCATTTATACCCAGTAATCCCTTGCGTTTAAAATGTTCAAATAAAAACGTGAAATATATTTTTTAAATTATTCTTTCTTTCTTTCTTTCTTTCTTTCTTTCTTTCTTTCTTTCTTCTTCATGAAGCCTCTTCTTCTTCTTCTTCTTCTTCTTCTTCTTCTTCTTCTTCTTCTTCTTCATGAAGCCTCTTCTTTTATTGTCCTTTCTCCTCACTAAGGATTTTCATTCTCTTTCACACCCTGTAATCCATTGCATCTGAAATGATAAAATGAAAAATAGTTTTCATTTTCTCTACGGCTTTGTTATTACTCTCATGTTTAGTCTATGGTATTCTCAGTATCCTTCTGTAGAACCACATTTCTGTTTCTTCAAGTCTCTTCTTCATCTGTGAGGAGATTGTCCATGATTCAATGTCATATAAAAGGACTGATATTACATAACACTTCAGTATTCTTTTCTTTGTTTCTAACAAAATTTTCCTGTTTCTTAATACTTTGCTTCAGTCCATGGCATTCTCAGTATCCTTCTGTAGAACCGCATATCTGTTGGCTCAAGTCTTTTCTTCATGAGATAGGCACTGCCACATTTGAGGCCCGGTATTACATAACAGTTCAGTACTATTTTTCTTTTGTTTCTAATATTGTCATAGGTAAACGTCAATAAGGTATTTTCAAGGAGCAATTCCTACTAAAATCAGTCCATTATCAACCAGTGCCACGCATATGAGTTTTTCAGCTGGAAATTCAAGAATTCTATCTCAATCTGATCTATCTATCTATCTATCTATCTATCTATCTATCTATCTATCTATCTATCTATCTATCTATCTCATTCTGTTCCTATCTATTTCCACGTTCAGATCTATCTATCTATCTATCTATCTATCTATCTATCTATCTATCTATCTATCTATGCGCGCGAGTGCTTTTAAAAACTCACGACTATATAACGAGTAATCGCTTCCCAGAAATCTCCCGGACCTTAGCTTGGTAACAAAGTATAAGGATAGGAAGGCGCCGGCCTGTTCCGATAAGGATGGGTGGATTTGGTCGCTTAGTGGAGTCGAATCAATAATTAATGCTGCCTTTTTGTTTTGTAGTCGAAGATTATATCAGGATCATTATGTTACAAATATCGATCCTGTTTTGTTCATCGGGAAATCCCAGAGGAGCGTCCAATCAATGGCAACATCACCAGCATCGTCATCTTCGGCGCTTGCAACAGCAGCCCGATGTTAACAACAATCGTTTAAAACGCTACACCTACCGTCATTATGCTTGCGAACGCGGGATGGCACCCACCCTGCCATCGCCCATTATTAAAACCACTTATAATCATTTTAGCTACGACCTATTTCTGAAAACGACCTTATTCCTTTCTGTTAATTCATACGCGCCGCGCGTGGTGTCAACTCGTGATGACACTGGCGTCTTCCCGCCGTCCTCTCCTCGTATTTAATTCTCCCATGACCAAGAATCGAAGTGAAAAGATGACCGGCAGTGGACATGTTCTTTTAACATCTATGCCAAAAAAAAAAAAAAAAAAAAAAAAAAAAAAAAGAAAGAAAGAAAAAGTAATAACTATGTGTACATCTATCTATCTATCTATCTCATTCTGTTCCTATCTATCTATCTATCTATCTATCTATCTATCTATCTATCTATCTATCTATCTATCTATCTATCTCATTCTGTTCCTATCTATCTATCTATTTCATTCTGTTCTCTATCTATCTATCTATCTATCTATCTATCTATCTATCTATCTATCTATCTCTGTTCAGTCTTGGCATACTCTTTATACTTTTCACAACTATTAATTACAAAGACCAGTTTGCGTTCGACGTTGTTATGACAGTTTTCCCTTTGAACACATATTGATTCAGTTAGTTTTGTAGCGAGAGTTGACAGTGCTGAAACGAGGCTAAAACAAGAGCTATACACCCAAAAGTTACCATCAGAATCGGTGCTAAGTTTTCGATGCCCTAATCTCCAATCTGTGATACGGAACACCCACTCTACTACATCTCAATTTTCATAAGGCAGTATTTATATATACAAATTTTATTGTAACCTAATTATGTACAATAATGGATCACACGTAGTACAGGCATCCAATGACTCGAGAAAAAATTAAAATAAATAATGTATCTAAACACAAATTAGAGACATATTAAAACAGATAATTCCGCTTTAAATAAACCAAAAATGTTTTGCGGCATTTTTAACATCAACTTGAGATATTTTTTTTCTTTGTTTAAAAGTTAATTTAACGAATTATCACATTATGAATAAAATATAGCGAATTTTATATAGTGTTTTTTTTTTTTTCGAGACATTCACCCATCTGGACTAAAAAAAAATCACCCCAGAATTAAAGTCAAAATCTGCGAATATTTTTCATCCTTTATTAGTTGTGCTACGTTTAATTTGTAACGTATATAAATGTAAGTCGAACAAAAATAAACGTTGATAAAATAGAGAGGGTTCCACACGGAGCCCCCACGAATCAGGCTTAGCCTCCCGCACTCGGTCGTGGGGTTCAGGGTTCGGGTTTCGGGGGTAGCACGCACCGGCGCTGGCTATGACCTTATGCCACACAGGACTTTCCACGTAGTTAGTACTACAAAAAAAAAAAAAAAAAAAAAAAAAAGATGAAATGCTGGTTGGAGTTCTAATAATAATTTACTAGAAATATTGTCAAAGAAGCAGAAACAGAAACTCCATTCTTAGATGGCCAGATTCTGTTGCATTTTGGTCTGCCTCGTTCTGCAACACACACACACACACAAATATATATATATATATATATATATATATATATATACAAAGTGAACACTGACGTCAACACTCAGAGGCGACAGGCTGTTTCATACTAGCCGCAAGTGTCAGGCCGCCTGACGATTGCGCCCAGCATGAAACAGCCTGTCGCTTCTGAGTGCTGACTTCAGTGTTCACTTTTATATTTACATTTACACACGTTCTATTTCTGATACTGAGCACTTTATCCCATAAATATAGCACACTTTAAAGCTATATTTCTTCACATATATATATAAATGGAAAATTATAAATAGGACGAGAACGTGTAAAGCTTGGGATGACCCATGCCCTTTGTGCCTCCATGAGAAACTGCACATTATTAAGTTTCTAAATAATAAAAATCTATTAAACAATAGACATGAGTTAACGGTTTTTGCCGACATCATCAAATTTATGCACTGAATAATTAGCTAAAAACAAGCATACAATATAATAACTTTTATAATCCATAGCCCAAATAAATAGTTTAAATACCCTACAAAAAAAGATAACCCTTTATTAAGTCGTCTAAAAACAAATGTCACGGCAGTTTTTATATGCACAAATCCCTTTCATAAAGAAAAAAAAATCTCCATAGACACGTAAACCAGACTAGGCTAAAACATCTTCCGTTTCAAATTTAGACACCCCCGCCTTACCCTGACTTGACATCTATGAAAGTAACTCTATACTGATACTTATTATTAACACCCAACACACCCCTAACTATTTTAAACAATTCGCCCTGGCTGTTACCATGGAAATTTTGATTTCAATTATGAATATACTATTAAAACACGTAAATTTCAGAAATAAGTTATTCAAAAAAAAATTTCGCTTGAAGATGGAACAGAACTTACTTTAATTCAATTTAATTCAAATAATTATATTGAAGTTTTCGGCTCTTGTTTTGAAACATGAGACCTCTTATGTCGCGAGTTGGAATGACATTTTTAAATAAATAATTATATATATATATATATATATATATATATATATATATATATATATATATAATTATTTTTTAAAAATATGATTTCATCGCTACATAAGATGTTTCAAAACAAGAGCCGAAAACTTCAATATAATTATTTGAATTAAATTGAATTAAAGTACCAAGCTCTGTTCCATCTTCAAGCAAAATTTTTCGAATAACTAATTCTTGAAATTTACGCGTTTTTTATTTTCTATATATTTTCACACACACACACACACACACACACACACACACACACACACACACACACACACACACACACACACACACACACTCACACACACATATATATATATATATTAATATGTATTAAACCTTAAATGTTTATAATTGGTAACAGAAACCATTGGTTTATACCAATGTCTTCCCATACTTCATACTTCTCCAATTCACTTTCGTGTGGTCATGTGTGACGTCATAAGATGCGGTGCAATTTTCGCTTCTAGCTTCCTATATGCACGTGTTTATCGTTGCTTAGAAATCATCTATGTACACAATGACAGACTATCATCACTGTCTTGTCCGTATATTGTTTAATATGTTGTAATTGACATCTTTGATAATGGCTTATGTAAGCCGAAAGCTTAGCTTGGATTAAAAAATATGGATCAATATTGTGATTTTCTTTCTTCGTTCAACGATAATGTTATTAAACTTATCAGACGTTATGAAAAAATTTACATAAAATAAATAGACAACACTTGTCTATATTATTTAATGAAACGTGTATGAATATATATATATATATATTTAAAATTATGTTTTCGGTTCCGTCTAAAGTTTTTTTTTCTTCTCTTTTATTTCCAGTAGCCCTTTGTGTTTTAGTGGCATTGCCTTGCGTTGGTTTCATTGAAAGTTATCTTTCTAGGACACATAATGAGGAAAGGGGGCCTGGAGAATGTGATACTCACAGGTCAAATCGATGGAAAGAGAGACATGGGAAAACTGCGTGACAAACCTGGCAGGCTTAAGCAAGTAGATGAAAGAACGTGGTCTTTAGCAGAGGGAAGGAACTTATTGACAGCCGCAAAGGATAGAAGGAGGTGGAGAGCCATGATCGCCAACGTCCTGAAAGGACATGGCACATAAAAAAAAAAGAAAAAAGAAATCAGTTTTTTGATGTTAAGATGAAAATCATCAAAGAAAGCTTCGTATTTTTTTTTTTTTTTAACATAAGTGTAAATTACTTTTTAACTTTTGTAAGCTCATCTTTAGGGGTAAATTACAAAGACAAATTTATTGTAAGTGCGATAAAAATCTTCATTGTTTGTGATTGTGTTTTTAAAAAGAAGTACGACCCGGTCTATTATATTTAATTAAAAAAAATCACTATGACAACGGAATGAAGATTTTATGGCAGTTACAATAAATTTGTGTTTGTAATTTTCTCCTGAAGATGATCTTAGAAAAAGTCGAAAGTACTTAAAAAAAAAAAAAATTACAGCGTCTTCGCATGTTTAACTGAATATATATATATATATATATATATATATATATATATATATATATATATATATATATATATATATATATATATATTGTTTCTACGTTATTTTTATAGATACAAATATTTAAGTAAATGCTCTGTTCATAATAAACAGTATTAACTACATTTATCGGCCGGGGTCAACATTGCCATATATATGGGGTATCTTTGAATTTTAATTATATGTAATTTATTTATATATGCTCTGTAATAAATACATCGAGCTCTATTCGTGGATCAGTTTTAATATCTTATATTATAAGGATTCACTTGGATTATTTACTCACGGATTTACCCTTCATATATATATATATTTCATATATATTTCACAGCAAGCAAGGCGGGAGTGCCACTGATTCGCAGGGAGTTACATAGAGTGAAGGTGTGAGAAAAAAACTGTGTATAGGAGGGGGGAGTATAAAAACATATCAAAACAAGTTGCGTGAATATTCTTGTTAAACGTGTTGTAATATATCCAACGATGGAGTAATGAATAGCGACTCGGATTGAGGAATCGGAGAGCCGAGTTTGAATTCTAGTCGAATCCATTACATTCATTTACGTGCTAATACCCTTGGGGAAAAAATATGAATCCTCTTCTTCTCTCCCCGCCCAGCTATGAGTAAAGAGCAGGACAGACCAGGTATTCACAAATGGTCATATATCTAGATACAGACCAGGCTCGACGTAATGTGGCCGTAAGCCCTTAACCATTGTATAAAGCAACTTAGAAGTTAGAAAAAAAAAATGACAGACAGACCTTGTCGATATTGTTCAACAAAACATGTTTATTGCTGCCTCCATATACAATGTATGTTTCAATGAATAGTATTTTGTCTTTATTTTGATAATATTCCTTTCTAGTACTTGGGTAGAAAAAAAAACTATGGCGTCTTCCTTGATGAATTTCTCTTAATAATCAAGAAACTGATCAGAGAACTAGAAAGGATTGTTATATAATTATTTTAAAATGTATTGCAGGTATTTTTAGTATAAAAATTTGTTTTTATACTTTCATAATGTTTTAACCTCAATTTGGGGGTTAATTATTTGCGCATAGCTGGGAGCATAGCAGAAGTTACCCCTTGGTGAGGTGGTTCTACGCTCCTCAAAACGTCCTGATCAAAGGACGCTGATGGCTTCGTTGAAGGCAGAGTTGTTTTTTTCCTTCATCTTTCCATTCCAAGCTAAGCAAAAAAGCCACTAACACGCAGGTGTTTACTGAGTGTGAAAGAATAAAAAAAAATTATTAAAGAGTGATATTAATTACCAGCGTTACATTTGACCCTCTTTATAAAAATACATCAATGGAACCTGATCTACAAACAGATTTCTTGCAAAGAATACATATTCTATTCATACAAACCTATCCTAAAAATCTTGTCGGCATTAAATAAGCCATTGAAGTTGATATTCCGCAAAACAAAATGCGAGCAAACAGAAGACGTTAGAAGCTAATGGTTGTAACCGAATTATTCCCCTTTGGTAATACTTAAAGAAAAAAAATTGTCCGAAGTGCTTACCTCCCTTTATTTTTTCCGCGTTAGGCTTTCTTTGGGGCATTGGTTTTCAAGCTAATCTCGCAAACGTTTATTACTACAGTGAGTTACATCCCCACTCGCTGCTCCACATTTATGGCCTTGTGTCAGAATAGGCTAAGCTTAGTATATCTTTATTAAAGATTAATTCTCCAGGAAACAACTGTTAATCTCCATGGTCGATATTACTATGGTGACTAATCCTGATTGGGTAACACACATTTGTGTCTGACAAAGCTTATTTTAAATGGCGTGTCCTTTCAGGATGTAGATAATAATAGCTCTCCACAACTTCCTATCCTTTGTAGCATTTAGAAATGTTTGTTCTCTTTTTATACCGTCAGTAATAGGCACAATGTTTCCTTCTGAAACCATTTACCTTTCAGTGTATCCTGTGAGTGTCAAATTCTCCAAGTTCACTTTCCTCTTTATGTGTTTCAGAATTTTCAAATGTCACTTCTTGAAAGATATATATTCTTTTTGTTTTAATTTTGCTGTAAACTTCCTCATTGCTCACATGTTCTGCCCGTGGTATTCTCAGAATTTTTCTGTTGTCTCGTCTCCTCTTTGCTGACATGTTTGATGTGACATAAGAATTCAGCATTCTTTCCTTTGTTTCTAAAGAGATTTTTCTTTTTTTTTTTAAACACTTTGTTTAGCGTTTGGAAGGAATTTACTACATTTCTGTCTTTCTTTTTTTCCCCTCTCTCTTCTTTATTTGACTATACTTTCTATTTTTCTTTTATTTCACACTACATCTTTCTTTCTTTCTTTCTTTCTTTCTTTCTTTCTTTTTTTCTTCTTTCTTTCTTTGATATTCCCCCACTCTCTCCTTTATTTGACTCTATTTCTTTCTTTCTATCTGTTATTTGCCCTTCTTTCTTTCTTTCTTTCTTTCTTTCTTTCTTTCTTTCTTTCTTTCTTTCATGCCCTCACTTTTCTTCTTTCTTTCTTTCTTTTTTCTTTCTTTCTTTCTTTTATTTGTCCTACTTCTTTATTTCTTCCTTTATTTGACACTTCTTTCTTTCTTTTATTTGTCCTACTTCTTTATTTCTTCCTTTATTTGACACTTCTTTCTTTCTTTCTTTCTTTTATTTGTCCTACTTCTTTATTTCTTCCTTTATTTGACACTTCTTTCTTTCTTTCTTTCTTTCTTTCTTTCTTTCTTTCTTTCTTCATTCGCCACGGCGTTTAATCTGTTCTAATCTCATCTCAGTCTCTATCTTTAATTCTTTTATTTGCTTTCCCTCTTGTTTGTTTCTTTCTCCCCTCTCACCTTTATTTGACTCTACTTCTTTCTTTCTTTCTTTCTTTCTTTCTTTCTTTCTTTCTTTCTTTCTTTCTTTCTTTCTTTCTTTCAATTGACTCTACTTCTTTCTTTCTTTCTTTTATTTGACTCTACTTTTCTTTCTTTCTTTTATTTGACCCTACTTTTCTTTCTTTCTTTCTTTCTTTCTTTCTTTCTTTCTTTTATTTGACTCTACTTTTCTTTCTTTCTTTCTTTCTTTCTTTCTTTCTTTATTTGACTCTACTTTTCTTTCTTTCTTTCTTTCTTTTATTTGACTACTTTTCTTTCTTTCTTTCTTTCTTTCTTTTTCTTTTTTTCTTTCTTTCTTTCTATTTGATTCTACTTCTTTCTTTCTTTTCTTAATTCACCATGGCGTCCAGTCAGTCCTCCCCGCACCCCAGTCTTTATCACCCATTATTTTACTTGTTTTTTTTTCTCTTCTTTTTTCGTTGCAACTTTCAATCTGCGAGGCTCAGTTCAAAGAATCCACTATTTGATATTTGATGCCTTAAGCAGGACACATTTGTTAGTCAGTTTTCCTATTCGATACGTTCCTTGATGTTTTTATTGCTGGCTTTTGTCCGACCGCTTGTTCGAAACCGGACAATCGGTTCGATCCGCCCTAACGTCACAGTCAACTGGACTTCGGGCCGCAACAAGTATCAGCTTTGACAAATTACGCCCCTATTACGAACACCACTGAAGATGGGTGGTGGTGCTGGCTGTGGGAGGCGTAAGGTGGTCGAAAAGTTATCCTGATAAAAAAAAAAAAAATCTGTGGGGATTACACCCACTTGGTCCGACAAGACGCCCGCTAGGTGGTGTTGTTTCAAGACTATAATAAAAAGGGGAAGCTTTCTCTTTTCTTTTGCTTCGATATGTAGAAACGCCAGCACGAGACTTTGTCTCCGCAAATTTCTTTCTCCCGGACAAGCGCCTGACTGTGTTTTTTCCCACACTTCCACGCTCACTCAGACACATACACTTCCACACACACACACACACACACACACACACAAAACACACACACACAATGCCTTTTTTTTTAAGTATAATTTCGCTCTTATGTGAATCATGGGGGAAAGAATAAACTCATAACATTTCTTCACCGCCGAGCAGACTCCCAAACCAGCACCAATCCTGATGAGTGGCCATATCCTCAAATAGGCTCCTTGATTCGAATGCCTACCGGGACTGAAGCTCGCTCCCGACCTCAAATGGAACTCGTGTATTCCTGCTATTGCAAATGATGCTGGAAGAATGATCATCTCCTTGTATCACCCCAGAAAATACCTGACTTCCGCTGCCAAGCTCTGTCTTTACCAGAGTCAGATAAGAATGGAATATTGCTACGATATCTGGACTGATACTACCCAATCCTCACGGTCTAGCCTCGGCATAGTTAAAAACCGCTTATGCGACCTTGTAGATTATGAATTATTATCCACCCAGCAACTCTTATTCCACAGACGAAATCTCGCCTGTCTCTCACGACTCTATCGCAATTACTATGGCCGATGTTCGGACGAGTTTGGTTTGGTTTGGTTTGTTTTACGACATATCAACCTCAATGGGTTATTTAATACGCACAAGGTTTTTATTGCTGGTTATATTTTTTTTTAAAAATGTATTGCTTTTTAATATTTTTTTTCCAAAAATTTATTGCTGGTAATATCTTTTTTCAAATATGTATTGCTGGTAATATTTTTTTTCAAAAATTTATTGCTGGTAATATCTTTTTTCAAATATGTATTGCTGGTAATATTTTTTTTTAATATATATTGCTGGTAATATTTTTTTTCAAAAATTTATTGCTCGTAATATATTTTTAAAAAATATATTGCTGATAATTTTTTTTTCAGAAATGCATTGCTGGTAATATTATTTTTCTAAAAATGTATTGCTGCTAAAAAAATTTTCTTAAAAAATTCATTGCTGGTAATAATTATTTTTTTTATAAAAATGTATTGTTGGTATTAAAACCAATTTTTACACTTTCATAGTGTTTTGACCCCAGTTTGGAGATTAACTATTTGCCCATAGCTCAGACCCTAACAGGTGCTACTTCTGCGGGTCAAGGTGGTTCCACGCTCATCAAAACCTCCTGATCAGAGGCCTTGCTGCTGAATGTAGTTTATCGTCTTACCCAGGACGCGGATGTAGTTTATCGTCTTACCCAGGACGCGGATGCAGTTTATCGTCTTACCCAGGATGCGGGTGTAGTTTATCGTCTTACCCGGGACGCGGATGTAGTTTATCGTCTTACCCGGGACGCGGGTGTAAATTATCGTCTTACCCGGGACGGTCGGAGTTGCATTCCTTAGTTCCACCAGCGCAGACCTTCGTACCTTGGACCCACCATGCTATGTTAACAATGGAAAACCAACCACATTTCCTTCGCGTCCATTTGATAAAAAGCAAATTCCACTTAGATATCTTCTTTCCTAGAACTGTTAACTTTATGAAACAAACTCCCGAGATAATGCTTTCCTAACAACTACAATTTTGGTCTCTTTAAGCCCAGGGTGAACCGATATCTATTCATAATTGTCCTCGTAATACTCTCCTGTTTTTCTCTTACTTCCTCCTCCTACAATCTCACACATTAACGCCTACCTTGAGTGGCTCTCAGGCCTTATATTGGGCGAATTAACAGTAAAAAAAAATGTTATTCGTTATATCAAAATGCATAGAATTATTTCCAGTGTTGACATTTATTCTTGAAAGTGTTGAATTCAGTTTCTCTGATGGTTCTCAATCTCAATTTCATTCCAACACAAACAATTCAAGACCCGAAAGTATTATTCGGACGAGCGCGCTCGGACATTTATGAAGTCTATCACGCCAAACGTCACGGTCCTGCATTAAGGTCGGAAGCTCATTAGAGTGCCATTCTGTGTCATACATTGCTGGTCAATGTAAGCGTTTGCTGGACGACTAACTGTTTCACGCCATGGCTAGGTGTCCAGACCAGCAGATAACTCGCGAGTTCTTGTTTTGCTCGCCAGTAATGTCCTGCTAAGCGCATTCTGCGTTCGCATAAGATTAAAGAAATATCATGGATGGATCCATATATCTGGGATTTAGTTAGATTTTGTCTCCAAGAAATGTTAACTATAGCTCTCGGCATTCGAGTGGAGGTTCCAACTAGATTAGATTCAAGGGTTTTAGTTAATGTCCAAGCAGTGGCATCATACATTAAAACCACCTCTACAGTGGCTCGAAAGAAGCTCCGCTTGAGGTTGGTAGATCAGATTTCCAGATTACATCCATTTTATTCAAGGCGACCCAAGCTTTATCTTTTGAGAATTTTCACATCCTTTTCAGTTAAAGATCGGAAATATTTCCACAAGACAGTATAGAACGGTGAGTATACGAGGAAAGCTAAATGGTACTTTGTTTAGTGATCCGTAAAGGCAAAATCTGAAAACTCCTTGAAGTGGTTTACAATAGTAAGAACAACTTTACGTTAACTCAAGCAAAATCAAGTATGCATTAAATAAATTAAAATATTAAAATTAAAATAAATCTTCCATTCGTCTGTTCGTGGAGTAGTACTACCATATATGGTCTGGTCCTCCAGATACATATCACAAGCTTCTCGTCAAAATCCAAAAAAGGGTCTGTAATGTTATCGGTCCTAACCTGGAATCTCAACTACAGTCAGTTTTCCATCCCTGCAACGTAGCTTCCCACTGTCTTTTCTATAAATATTTTCATGGCAGTTGGGCTAATGATCTCCCCTTCTTGTTACCTCGATCGAAGCGTACTACTAGATTGGCAATTGGGTTTTACTGTTGATTTAGCTAGTTGCAACCGTATGTTCTACTCTAATAGTTTCTTTTCTAACACTTCCCACCTGTGGAACTCCCTTCCGATTTCTTGCTTTCCTTCCACCCACAATCTTTACAATTTTAAATGCAACGTCAATCACCATCTTCCGTCTTCCTGAAATCTGTTCTTTTATTGTCCTTTCTCCTCATTAAAGCCTTTTCTTTCTCTTTCAATCCCAGTAACCCCTTGCGTCTCAGGGGCATTATCGCCTTACTTGGGGTGAAATGAGTAAAAAATGGATTTTTACTACTAGTAGTACTGAGTTGTTATGTAATATTTCCTCCTATATGGCAGTGAATGCTGAACAATCTCCTTACAGATGACGAATAGTTGAAGCAACAGAGATGTGGTTCTACAGAAGGATGCTGAGAATACTATAGACCAAAAATGTGAGCAACAATGGCGGAGAGGAGGGTGACTAAAAGAAAAGAATGGCAAACATACCATTGTTCTTAAAGAGATTTTTTTATATCGCTATGTCGTACAAGAATTTTGTGCCTTCCATCAGCATGGCTGAATCTAACCCCGAGGAGGGAAACTCATTCCGCCATCTTGGTCTCCGTTTTTCCACTGACAAGTGGGATGATTATATTAAATCAGTTGCTATGTCTGCCACTAAGAAGTATACTTCCCTCCGTTGTGCCAGACAATTTTTCTCTCCAGACTTCATCTTGCACATTTATAAATCTACCATTCGTCCATGCATTGAATTTTGCTGTCCTGTTTGCTTTATGCTTCTGCCACAGAATCCAATGAAAGGTCTGTAATGTTATCAATCCCGATTTGGCATCTCGACCTCAGTTATGGCGTGCTTTTCCCTCTGTCTTTTCTACAAATATTTTCATGGGATTTGTTGCTCTGTAATGAGCGTGAATTTAAACATATTATTATAGTGACAATTATGTCTCATCCTTTTAATGTTGAACTAGATCGATGTAATCGTAAGTTATAGTTTGTTTTCTTTCGCTTCTCATCTGTAGAACTCTCTTCTGATTTCTTGCTCTTTTGCCACATATAATCTTTAAGAATTTAAATGCAACACCATCGTCTTCCTGGTATCTGTTCTTTTATTG